ATTAAACTGCTTCATGTGGCACATTGTAAATCAACTCATCAAAACTCCATCTTGTGATACACATCAGTTCAGGGACATCCAGAGTTCATGTCTCTTCTGGCTCCACTTTTCTTATGAGGGACATTGTATGATGATATTTCTTCATGCACCCTCCCAAATACCCAAGAACACAGATACCAGGCATAGGCTTTTGAGTTGTGGCTTTGGTACCCGTTTGGAGTTACATGCTCCTAGATGCTTGAGATTCCATATCCTTGACTGGTCCTGTGTAAGAAGGAACACATTCCCAGAGGTGCTCAGTGTGTGCAGTGCCCAGTAACTCTTGGGGACTGCAGAGTGCTTATTGCTCACGGAAAATCCAGTGCTTTTTGTCATTCCTTGTTTGGGTTTTAAAGTAATTTTGGAATTGAGTTTGAACTAAATTTGGAATGGCACCACAGTTTCATTAAACACAAGACTCAGTGACACAGTCAGCAATGAACAATAATTTTTTTCCTCTGGTTTGTCTTGGTTTAGCCTTGCCAGTAATCTTCACACAACCACTCCAGAACCAGCAAGCTGAAGAAGGCGGCACCATCACTTTGAGCTGTGAAACCTCAAAACCAAATGCTGCTGTGCAGTGGAAGAAGGCCGGGACAGTTCTGCGACCAAGTGACAAATACAAGATGCATCAAGCTGGACCCATGGCTGAGCTGACAATTTGCAACCTGAGTGAAGCTGATGCTGGGGAATACACATGTGACACAGAGGACCAGCAAACCACTGCAGCTGTGCTCGTGAAAGGTGGGGCTTTGCGTGGGCAAGAGCTTAATGGAGCTTGGTACCACAGCAGGGGCACATAGCTAAGTAATTTGACAGCTAGACATTGTGCTGTGCCCAAACTGAATCATGGGGATCTCAGAGACCAGGGTTATTTCAGAGGGATAAGAGCTGGGTCAGTTATCTCTGTGGAATTAGAAATGGGTCTTTAGTCAATGATTCTGTGGTTTAATGTTAATGTCGCCCACTAAAATCTGTTGACAGTGTTTTCAGAATGCATAGATTGCATTATAAATATCTATTATATATTTATTATACACACAATACAGTAGAACATGCATAATTTATAGACTAGCATATATATGTGCATAATATGTATGCACAGACACATACCTTATGCATCAGTAGGAATGTAACATATTACTACATGCCCATGTAACTACATTTCCACACATTTAGTGTTTAGTGCTTTGTGGTCACTCTTTCAAACAGTCTAGTACTGTCAAGAAAAAGCATGACGAAAGTAGGTGTCAAACTGTTGAAAGTAGATATCAAACTCTGTTGACCTTTCCATAAAGAACCAGCAGCCACCATAGTGGAGACGCTGAAGGATGTCACATCGTATGAAGGAGAAGACGCAGTGTTTGAATGCAGGCTGTCCCGGGAAACAACTCAGGATGCCCAGTGGTTCCTGGGGGATGTTCCCTTGCAATCCAATGAAATGAATGAGATCGGAGTCCAAGGGACGCGTCACACACTGATCCTGAGGAAGGTGACACTAGAAGACTGTGGGCCCATCAGTTTCAAAGTGGGGCAGCATACCTCAGCAGCACAGCTAACGGTCCAAGGTGAGCAACCTCCTAGGAGCAGGGATTTAGAAGGTGCTAGTAAGCACTGTCAATATTGCTTTAGCTTCTGGAGAGGTTTATTTGGGAGGAGGGGTCTCTGGAAATCTTGGGAAATTTGCCTAACCTAATTTAGTCTTTTAAGAGGTAGATATGTACATCTGAGCTAGTTGTTTCAGTCATTTTTTCTATAGTCTATGGAGTGCAGCAGACATCCTTGGAAGACCATCCAAATTCTCCTGAAACAAGCATATGTCAGAATCAATGCTGAAGAATGTAGAGAACAGGCTCTGAACTGATGTCCTACCTATGATGTTTTTAGATAATATTTACTCAAAAGAATACAAAAACTCTGAAAAAATTCCCATGAAGTTCTGTAGAACGCTTTTGAAAGACGGTCCTTATCAATATCCTGTCTTGTTTTTTCCTGTTTGATCTGGTTTGCGCCCAGTTCTGATCTGTGGGTAATGCTGGATCAGGTGGTTGTGGCAGTGTCGGTACCCTCTTCCCCACAGTTGCTCCAGTCACCTTTGTGAAGGCTCTCCACAGCTTGGAGCTGCAGGAGGGTGGCACAGCTCACTTGTCCTGCGAGGTATCCCAGCCCAGTGCCCCAGTGGAGTGGAAGAAAGGCACGACCGTGATCCGCTCCAGCCAGAAGTGCAGCATCAAGCAGGAGGGGAACGTTCACACGCTGGTCATCCACGATTTGAACCGCGCAGACTCAGGGGAGTACAGTTGTCACACGGCTGATGGGAAGACCACCGCCAGACTAGATGTTAAAGGTATGATGCTCTTTGCTCAGCAGTGGTGAGAGCTGCGCATGTCAATTTTTGGAGCTCTCTAGTGCAAGACGGGCACCAAGGTAGTGGAGCAAGTGCAGCAAAGGCCACCAAGTTTGTCAGGGGACTGGAGCATGTGAAGTGTAAGGAGAGGCAGGGGCAGCTGGATTTGTTCAGCCTGCTGAAGAGAAGGTGAGAAGGTTGAGGGGGGACCTCATTGCTATCTGCAGCTTCCTAATGGGAGGGTCAACGGAGGAGAGAGAGACAGACTTTCCTTTGGGGTGCTCAGCAAATAGATGAGAGGCAACAAGTGCAAGCTGCAGCAAGAGAAATTCAGATTCGTTAAACAAACAACGTTTCACAGTGAAGGGGTGGTCAGACAGTGTAACTGGAACCCAGAAGGGTGGAGGAATCTTCATCCATGGAATCTTCATCCATGGAGGACCTCCAGAGATCCCTTCAGCCTTAATTATTCTGTAATTGATGCCTGGCTGCATGATCTGAAGCCTCAGGTCTGATGGTGTATATTCTTTGAGTACTTCTATCCTGCTCCGTGGTTTTATTTTGGGGATGAAAAGCCATCTGGGCTTCAGAAATTATTACTGAAGTTAGCTGGGAATTCTTTGTGAAGAGAAGTGTCGGGTATAGGGAGAGAAATGCAGCTCCCGTAGAACTGAAATTTTTCCTGCTGGTTAACTCCTTTTCCTCCTCCTCCTCCTCTGCCTGGCTTAGACCTAGACATCCCCACCCTGGCAGGTCTCTATTAGGTAAACACTGGTAGAATTGTACATGAGCTTCATGAAAGGTACAACCATTACCAGCTCCTTAAAAATAAAACATTATTCCATTTTCTATTTTTGCTTCGCCCGTTTTTCCTCCTTGCACCATTCCCCATTTCAAGCCCTGCCTGTGCTTTTCAAACACTGGCTGAAAAACGAGGAGGTGGAGGAAGGGCGCACAGCCGTGCTGCGCTGCGAGCTGACAAAACCCAACGCGCCTGTGGAGTGGAGGAAAGGAGATACGGTGCTGCAGCCAAGTGACAAGTATGAGATGCGGCAAGAGGGGACACGTGTTGAGCTCTTCGTCTATGGTGCTGAGGCTCAGGATGCCGGCGATTATACGTGCGACTCGGGGGATCAGCAGACCACTGCATCACTGCAGGTCAAGGGTAGGAGAAGCTTTGCTTGAAGGCAGAGAAGTTCTGGCTGTGGCTGTCCTCCATAGGGGTGATATGGAACTTTTATCGATGAATTATCGTTAACACTCTGTATCTGTGAATTACAACTGCAGGAAAGGGTTTGATCCACAGTCTGGTCTTCAAAGAATAATTTAATGCCTTTTAAACCCAATTCTATATCTGCAGTTGCAATTTTGATCTCACTGTGAGAGCTGGGAACAAAACTGCAGCTGCTGCTCGTGAAGGGTATGTACAATAGCAGTTAGAGAACTTGCCTGCTACCTGACAAGAAGAGACCACACTATTTCACCAGACCTAGAACAGGCCCATTTTAAATTGAGCCATTATATCTATCTGTACCTAAGCAGCCCAAGAATTATGTCTCTCTGTCTTTTTCTAGTGGCTGCTTTTTTGGATGTTGTAGTTTTGTTCATTTTATATTCAGTGCTATGTCTTTTGACTTGAGCAACGAGATCATGCTCTTGGATCCTGAGTTCAGCCACCATACCAGGTCCTGCTCAGAGCACGTAGTTTCAGCGATTAAATGCCCAAATGCTGTGATTGTCAGGGTTGTGCCTCTAACTGCTTACGCTGAAAATTACGTGTATGCCCATATGAAGCCCCTTAGAGGTCCTGCGACCTATGGCAATCCTTTATGGAGCAGCAGTGGACGCCCTCATGGTCTCAGTGGCTGATCCCCACAAGTGACTGGCCATGGCATAACTCAAAGACCTGCTCTGGGCTTGGCATTGCCAGCAGGCAAGTTGTGGTTCACACAGAAGGGAACTGCTAAGCTGGAGAAGTTGCAAGCAAGTTCCTCACCTTTGAGCACTGTCACTGATGCAGTTGCTTCTCCGCTGCAGTCCTACCTGTGCTGTTTAATGAAGAACTGAAAAACGTAGAGTCGGAAGAAGGGGGAACAGCCATCTTGCACTGTGAGATCTCCAAGCCAGACGCCCCCGTGGAGTGGAGAAAAGGAGGGGTGGTCATTCAGCCCAGCGGCAAGTATGAGATGAAGCTGAAAGGCACCATTGCTGAGCTGATCATCCACGGTGTAGAGCCGGATGACTGTGGGGATTATACCTGTAGCACTGGATACGAGATCACCACAGGTTCTGTGTATGTACAAGGTAAGGTGAGATGTGGTGGAAATGCTCTGATTTTGCTGCTGGCATTTCTTATTCCAAAATCTTTGACAGTAACTGGCCAGACTTGTCTCTGATGCAACCAGTTGAAAGTTCATTCACTTCTTTCCTGATTTGAGTGAAGATTTAAACACTTACATCCAGACTGAGCTTGGACCAATGTTTATAAGTTAAGGTAGTTCAAAGTACTGACCGTACTTCATACCATAGCAGATGGGTGTACTGCTGAAAAACTATTTTCTCGGAGCAATGGTTGTAAAAAATAATGAAATTCTTGTTATTACTGATTACAACTTCTATCATTGTTGATATTCTTACTACTCTTTTAAAGCACTGTAAGTAAAGATCCCATTTAAACCTTAAGCCTCCTCTCTGTCTCCCACCTCGTACAATGTCAGCGCAGATGGTTGCAACACACAGAAGAGCCAGTGATGGAGTAGAGTTTCCACGCAGTGAAACAGTGTTTGCAGACACACACACACTGCTCTTGCAAGTGGGTGAAGGATGGAAGGTGGTTTCTAAATCACTTAAAGAAAACTTTAGTTCTTTTTTCCATGGGACAGCGTTACAAGTTTAACTCTGCTGGACAACTTGCACTGTCACTTGGGCTAGTTCTGCAAGAAGGGACATGTATGTGTTCATGCTTTTGATTTCCTTTGGCACCTTCTCTTGCTCTGTTATACAGAAGAAGCAGCAGTCATAGTTTCTGGTTTAAAGAACACAGACGTCTTTGTGGGTGAGTCGGCCACGTTCACCTGCGAGCTCTCACACCCGGGCGTGAAGAACGTGCAGTGGTGGCTTGACGGATCTCCCCTTCACAACAACCTTGTGACTGAAATCTCTGAGCAGGACGGGATGATCCACACTTTAACCCTAAATGACGTGGCGTGCCATGACTCAGGCACGGTCACCTTCAGAGCTGGGTCCCTTATATCTTCAGCTAAATTATTAGTCAAAGGTATTTTGGTGTTAGAAAGAAACACATGGCCACCTCTGGACTTGCTCAGTGCACTAGTGCTTCTGCCTTCCTGGCTACCCTTACTAAATCCCTTCTTCTGAGTTCTTCTGAGTCCTGCAGCCTTCCACTTCTGGAAGCCACCCATACCCCAGAAGTCTTACAGGTACAACCACATCGATTTTTTGAGTGGTTCAGGTGAGAACGGGTTGCAGGGTTAGGGCTGCTGCTTTCACCTGACATCTAAGTAGAGCTGAACATAAACCACTGTGGTAGCTCCTGATTGTTCTATGCCCCCTTCAACTGTTTTTATAATATCACGAAATATTCTGTAGCTGGAAATTCACAGAATTACCACTGTGGTGCTCTATACCTAGGCTATGGGCGCTGAGCTCAGTATATTCACAAGACAAGACTCCAGGCTATTATATTGATGGCTCCAGAGCTCTTACTGGGCACCCAAGGATATATGACATTGCAGTAGTGTAGTGACAAAATAAGTCTTGTTTGACGACTGCCAGAATAGTAATGGTCATCACTGCACTAGCAAAGATTTCTGGTCTGTTGAATAAATATTTTTCTCATTTGGTAAGGGTAGCCACAAGCTGCAAATAACACTGAGCTCCAGACTTGATAAAGCAAGCTCCTTCACATCCAGTCCTTTTATAGCTATTGGGAAAAGTTGTTGTTTTTCAGATGAAAGTATTGCTTATTCCTTGCTTGAAAACAGGATTTGTACATATGGAGATGTAAAGGGTTGAGAGTTCTTTATTAAAATCTACCCCCATGCCATACCTGTCTACCATAACAGAAATTATCCACAATTTGGAATGGCAGTCAGTGGTTTATGTTTCCTTCTCTGTATAATGTGTCCCTTATACATTCAGAAAATTTAACTTTCTGCAAAGATAAAATGCTAGATCACTTCTTCCTAACATCAGAATGATGCAGTACTGAGATAGTGTGTAAATCCCACAGATACCATGTTGGTTTGTAACCATTTTTGAGTTTCATATTTCCAGAGACAGAACGTGGTTCTGAGCTCTCTAGGCAAGGAATTCCAATGGGCCTAAAATGTAAGTTAAAAATAAAAGCATCATTAAGTATTCTACTCAGTCAAATAAAGGGCTCCTGAAAAGTTTTAATTTCACAGAAGCATAGCTTTTCTGACATTGGAAGGGATCTCTGGAGATCATCTAGTCCAACCCCACAGCTCATACTAGTACACATATGTATGTGGATATTTTGCGCTTCTCTTAAGGCAAGATTTCTTTAATGTGAACCTGAATAACAGTAGTATATGACTACAATCGAATTAGGATGAGAAAGATATTTAAAAACAGCCCAGTTACACTGTGTTTAGTGACACTCAATAGGAAAATAAAACACTAGTAAAATTCTAACTGTGCTTATATTAACAGTTCCTTCTCCAAGGAACGAGTTGTCTTTCTCTCTGTTCCACGCATCCCATTCTTCTGTTTTAAAGACAGTTTGTAACTGGCCATATTATATAAATGAGATCTCATGACACCTTTTCTTCTTGGGCCTTCACAATATCATTGCCGTACAACTGCACTAATTCAGTGGCCCAGCATGACGGCGTCTTCATGTATGGGTGGGAGGAAATGGAAAAGGCAGCTGCTGACTTCTGACCTTCTTGGGCAGGCTGAGAATTACAGGCCCCAGTGTATGTGTTGGCTCCTAAGTCCCAAGGAGCTTTCTGCCATTCTGCCTTTGTGAATAGGGCCACCAAGGGCTTAGCCTAACAGGGGCAAAGAGCAATGGGACATCTTCCTTCTCCAAGACCACAGGTGACATTTGCTATGAGGAGCACATGTGCGCATCTTATGAAAGGAGATGGTATTGTATTCCCCCCTTGCACAGATACCTTCTTGCTTCTTCAGTCCTGGTGTAGCCAAAACATCTCCATATCATGTCGTTGATGCTTCCTCTCCATAAACACATATGCAGACACATGGAGTGGTAGAGGGAGCCTTAGAGAGCAGGATCAAGCCTGCAACAAGTTTCCAAAAGACATGTGAAAAACTATCTTTGCTTCCCAAGGTCTGCTAGTAGCATCCCAAACCCTCAACCTGATGCACAAGGTTCAAAAGGAGCATTCCAGAGGTCCAGTGTCCTTTATTCCAGCTGGCTTGTGATCAGAAACAACTATTTGAAAGACAAGGATATATATCAGCTTTCTCCGACTGTCCTCATTTTATCTCCCATTGTAGCCCTGTCAATTTTTTTGGGAAGCTGATGTAGTTCTACTGAGAAGAATGTTACAAAGGCACTTCTGTTTTCAGACTTCACTGAGATTTTGCTTTTCAGCATATATATTGCAGTTGTATGCAGGTGGTCCAATTTGATACCACTGTAGGGACTCCTTGGCTGCTTTGGAAGTTCACAACATTTTGAGGTTAGATAAATCTACTGTGCCCTACAGCTGCCTCCCAAGAAGCAGAACTAGTATTTTAAAAGAAAGACTGGGTGCTTAAAAGCAGCCTCATGCATCTCACCTTCTTCAGAGGAGCTGCATATCCAGCTGCTCTCAGCATTTTATGAGCTCTCAATCTGAGACTGCTGAATGGTTCATGCGGCATCTCTAGATCAGCTACTGTAAAGGAAATCATATTATTTTTCCCCAGTCTATGTCTCTGCTGCAGAAGAGCACATGGTTAATGAAAACAATAAGTACCTGTCTCCTGTGAAGTGTCCTTTTTTGTTACAGTTGTCCTGGATCTTTGATCCTCATGCTGTCAATGACTCCTGACACACAGCTATCACCACCACAGGACAGAAATGGGTCTTTGCATTTGAGTATTGCATTTATTTCCAAGGAGTGGTTGCAGTTTGCTGATACAAGAAGCCTCCAGTAGAGTTTGCAGCATTTTGCTGTTGCTATGTGAGGTTGAGAGTTACCGGGAACCGCTCCCAGCAGCCCCATCCATTGCAGACCTCTGTCTCACCTTGTGCTTCTGCCACATTTGGGGAAGCAGAAGTGTTTCGCATCCAGTGCTTCCTAGTCCAGAGGATTTCAGCAATGCTGGGAGAAGAACTAGGCCTGAAGGGAATCCCAGCAGATGTTCTGCACAGAAGTTCACATTCAGGACTGTTAAAGCAGGAGCCTTAATTGCCGGTGGCCTGTTTTCCAGTGTGATGGTTCTATTCTAATGCACCAGTTTTGCTTCAATCCTGCTTGATGCTGACAAAAGCACAGACTAAACCGCTAATCCCCAGCGTTCCCAGTCAGCCTCCTGCTTGCACTGTCACTCTGCTTGCTCCCCACAGGCTCTGTGCTTGTCAAAATTCTCCAAGTTGCGATTTCCATGAGGATCCACTAATGCATGTCCTTCCTGACGTGTTGGTTAACAGATCCAACCATTGAAGTGGTCAGTCCCATGCAGGATATAACTGTTGATGAAGATGGCACAGCAGAGTTCATATGCCAATATTCTAGGCCAGTACACGCCATATGGAAGAAAAATGATCAGGAAATACATGCAGATGGTCAGCGAGTGATTATCGATCAGGACTGGAATGTAAGCATGCTAAAAATTAAACCTACGGTACCAGAAGACACTGGCATCTATTCTTGTGAAGCTGAAGGCACTAAAGTGATGGCTACACTTGATGTTCAAGGTGAGGTCTTCCAGCCAAAGAGGAAGACTATCATGGGTTCCAAATACAAGAGGTGGAAAAATCATGGCAGCTCCTCACAAAAAGTGATACATCAGATACACGCTCTTTGGTGTTCACTCCAGTACTGATAACGATGATAGAAGTAGTTGGGAGTTAATGGGAATTGAATATGAAACTGCAGCATTTCACTGGAGCTGAGTTCTAAGTAGGGCTCACTTACTACCCCACTTACACATCGTACCTCTTCTACAATGAACTGGAACATCAGTGCAATGGGGTGTGTCCTGCTGATTTATTGTAAAATCACAGATGTAATGTTGTTCCAAAGGAATACTAGGAGTACTTTTTGTTGTTACAGAGTGTTTTTTATACACATTGTGCCTTAAAATGAGTAGCTAATGGATAATGTGGAATTTCATTTTCTTTTCAGCTAAGCTAAGGTAGCTTGATATTTTACTTATTTCAAATACTGATCACTCAGGAATTACCTTCTCACTTGGCATCAGCATTTGTGAGGACCCTGACAAACAGTAAACAGAAATATTAACAATAGGTTTAGGATTTTATATTGATGTTTCTTATTTTTTTCCTGCTGTGTATGTAATTATTGATTTTGGTCACCAGGTGAATTAGTGTGATCAGCATGAGAAATGGTTCTGATCTGATTGTGAATTTTCGTGTGTTGTTAGACAATTATACTGCATTGCTTAACCAGAGATGTGAGTACAGAAGAGCAGGGTAGTATTTATTATAGTATTTTCTATACTGATAAGCACTTTACATTTTAGGGATTTAAAAAGATGTTAACAGTCATAATCTAAAATCATCCCAGGGGAGGCAGGATTTGCAGTTTGCTGGTTTTTTGTAGTTAGGGAAATCATCACTCCAAAAGTGCACAAATAAACAGCTTGGATTCATTCTAACAAAACTGTACATTCTCCAAAGATTTACAAAACCCTTATTGTTCTCCATAGTATAAATATTAAAAAATACAGACAATTTTTTAGTAACTCATGGTTTTGGGGTATTTTTTTTGCTATTAAATAAATTGTTTAGCTTTTTTTTTTTTTTCTTAGAACAGTTGCAGAAAATGGTTATAAAGACCTAAACAGGAATGTCTCAGGGCCTTGGTTTATGTTATAGGTCATGCTGACCATTGTATGGTACTTGTGCAAACTGTATTTACTCAACCACACGTTCCTGCTGTTGTGCATGTAATTTGTCCATATAGCTGGTCTAACACGAATTATATTCACATGTACCAGCCCACATTTAATTTTGCATCAGGCTGATTGCTTATGTACAAATGCCAGCTGATGCATGACTGCAGGCAAACGGAGCGTGTAGATATACGCATGTTTCTGACCACACAATTCACCACACACGCATGAGAAAATAAACCTAATGCGGTATCACAGAGCTTTTGTAATAATTCAGAAATTTACTATTCAAAATACTGTTCACAGATTTTAACTTTTTGTGTGTTTCCTAGAGGCAGACTTGTTAATTCAGATGATTCGCTATAGCTCTGCCAGCTATAATGCTCTCTCACATTTGCTTTGCATGAAAGGTAGCAAGATTTTATCATGAGCTGTCAGTGGATTCACATCTCCCCAGTTATGATGATAATTGCTCTGGCTGGGAGATCTGTGGGAAATGTTTCCTGCTGTGGGACAGAAAGAATTTGATTATACTTCATTATCCTGAGCCATCCCTTCCTATCAAATCTTGTCCTGATTCATATAAACACAAACATTTTTTTCTTTATTTGTAAAACAGAAGTCAGGTTTCTGGGGGAAGTCTAAATGAACGGCTAGAGGTCTTAGAGGTTTATCAGTATTTTTAACCTATGTCACTACTAAAAATGTTTTTAAATACAGTATTCTGTTAGAGGGTGCTTGAAGTCAACAACTAAACCCACAAGCACGGTTTATCAGATCCACATCCTTTCCATCAGCTTTCCAGCAGTGGGAACCATCCAGTACTCCAAGGCTTGTTAATATTCAGATATGCATAAGCAACAATTAATACTATTCGTTGTCTTTCTTTGCTAGCCAAGAACAGTATTGTCCAGGGCTTGGAGAATGTGGAAGCCGTGGAAGGAGGGGAAGCCCTGTTTGAATGCTATCTTTCCAAGCCCGAGTGCTACAATTACAACTGGCTGATTGATGATGAACCTGCCAAAACTACAGAAAACACGGAGATGGTTTACTTTGAAAACGGGCGCAGGCATCTTTTGCTGCTGAAGAACCTCACTCTGCGGGACAGCTGCAGGGTGACCTTCATGTGCAGTGACGCGGTGAGCTCCGCCTTCCTGACAGTGAAAGGTAACTGAAGCACTCGTGCATGGGGAGTCTAAAACATCTGCTTGGAAATGGCAAATAAACGAGGAAAATATGATGAGTAGCAGAGAGGAAAAGTTGCATTTGTTGCTTGCTTCTTTCCTAACACTTTTTCCCACACAATAAATAGCCGATGGTTTACAATTTCTTTTTTTTTTTTTTAATCTTATTCCGTATGCCATGATGTGGATATAAGCAGCATCAGATGGCAATGAATTAGCAGAACATAACTGTCATATACAGTTGTCATTATTCTGATTAATTGGGTTGTGTTTATTGTAGAATCATAGAATGGTTTGGATTGGTAGGGACCTAAAGATAGCCTAGTTCCACCCCCACTGCCATGGGCAAGGACACCTTCCACCAGCCCAGGGTGCTCCCAGCCCCATCCAACCTGGCCTTGAACACTGCCAGGGAGGGGGCAGCCACAGCTTCTCTGGGCAGCCTGGGCCAAGACCTCACCACCCTCACAGTAAAGAATTTCTTCCTTCTATCTAATCTAAATCTGTCTTCTTTCAGTTTAAAGCCATTACCCTTTGTCCTATCACTCCATGCCCTTGTTCCTCTCCAGCTTTCTTGAAGGCCCCCTCAGGAATCGGAAGGCTGCTCTAAGGTCTCCCCAGAGCCTTCTCTCCAGGCTGAACAGCCCCAGCTCTCTCAGCCTTTCCTTATAGGAGAGTGTTCCAGAGTATTCCATCCCTCGGATCATTTTTGTGGCCCTGCCTTTATAGTTACTTCAAGACTCTAGAGACGCGAATTGCATCAGTAACAATATTATCTCTGTATCTTTGTATTTTATGCTATTACTGGAGGTGCCTGTGGGGATCAGAACCCCTTTCAGAACACAAGAACAGCCATCCTGGGTCGTAGCGTGTTATCTCCTTTGCTGTTTTCTGCTACTTGGGAAAGAAAGACACTGCTAGGTTGGTTTTTGCTCCTGAAAGTATTGGAAAATTTCAGTCCCCAGTGAGACCTTCTGTTCTAGTGATATACATAACCTCCCTTTTAATGATCTCGTTGGTATCCGAGGCCTGACTATGCAGAGCTTCAACAAAAATATTCACAAAATCTCTTGCTAGTATTTTTTCCTGTAGCTAAGGGCTTAATTACATATTTTTATCTACAGGATGGCGCCTACAGATCTTGGAGCCTCTCACAGACGTGGAAGTCTCTTCAGGGGAGAAAGCTACATTTAGCTGCGTTCTAAGTGAAGCTGTGCCAACTAATGAAGTTGCCTGGTATAGTAATGATGTAGAGATCCAGTCGGATGAGGACTGGGAGGTACAAGCAGATGGAAACAAATACAAACTTATTCTGAAAAAAGCCCAACCACATCATTCTGGAGAGGTGACCTTTGCTTCCAGGGAAGCAATTGCATCAGCCAAGTTATCTGTGATAGGTAAGTGTCTGTCATTCTAGCCCAGTGGCACTTGAAATCTCAGACTTCGGTATTGAGCTACAACACTGAATTTTCTAATCTTTGTATTGATGCTTTTCTCTTTGCCTTGCATGTCCCAAGCTAGGGTTCTTAGTCTGAGAAGATGCTACTGGGCAACTTGTTCTTTGACCAGAAACAGTTCATCTCATCAGAAGAAAAATATCATTTTCAAACTATCAAATCAGGCTAGCGATGGTAGAGATGGTCACCAGCTTTCTTTAGCTACAGTCTTTAGTAAAATGTAACATAGAACCTAATGGAAATCAATTTACTCAGAGTTCAAGATCACCCTCAGCAAACATGTGGACACAGGAGGGAGCTGAACTAGAGTGGACATGGAAAAAATTATCCAGGACAGCAGAGAACCCTTTGAATTCTGTTAATCTATTCAAGCACAGAGCAACCAGTATTCCAGATTAATGGGCTGCATAGTAAAATCTTCATGTGAGTGAGATCCGTGAAATGCACATGTTGTACTTCAGAGATACGAGAGTTAATAGCTCTTGGAGTATTTTACAAGTAGAAAAAATGATAGTTGCCTAATTCCCTTGTGGGGCAGGTTAGACCAACGATTTGTCAAAGTCCATTCCAACACCCAAGGTCTGGCTCCTTCCCACAGTGTGATAATTAGGTCACCCAGCAATGGCCACGCCAACATAACCCCAGTGATGGTTATGAGATAACTGCAGTGCGTTTTACCTGTATGCTGTACTTGAGATATTCGAGAGCAACTGATTGTCCATCCCCTCTTTAAATTATTTTGTGTAGTCTGTCTGTCTACTGATTTCTTAGACTTTCGAGATCTCTGATATATTCCAGTCATTTCCACCAAAAAAAAATGGGTGTTGAAGAATTTAAAACAGCATTACTTTATTTTGGGCACCTACATTTTAAGAATTTCAGAATACTATCTCCATGAATTCCTGTTGACAGGTTTTCTGTATGAAATCTGGCTGGAAATACACAAAAGAAGCTTATACGTTACATAGAAAGGAATGCTTGTTGTGTCCAGAATTAAAGACCTGGCGGCTGACCCTGTTTGCCTTTAATTTGTTGGACTGGTATATCATGACTGGTCATTTACTTGGTGAATACCTTGAACTTGAAAACTGAAAGAATTCTTTCTGTCTTCTAAGCCAAAGTGTCAATTAGGTGAGGAACATGCTCCAGTGCACTGAGTATGATCATCACTAGCAAATCTGGTAGGACTCGACTCCATTCCCATTATGTATTTATTTGTTATTGTCTGATGCTGTGAGGCAATTACACAGAAAACTGGATGACTTGCTACTAATTTACTAGAGTTACTCTGTAGTTCAATGATAACTTGATTTCCATTAAGGTTAGACATCAAGTATGTAAGATCAAGGCCCAAAATTACTTGAAATTTTCAGCTAAATTCCTTGATAATAGGGACAGTATAGGGTCATCTTTATTTTCAGCTGGGTGGAACAAAGGAGCAGGAAAAAATCACAGTAATATGTGTCATTAAGTAACTGAGATGGCAGTTTGAAAAGAAATGTTTGCTATTAGGCAGGGCAGATAAAGGAGAACTCAGTGATGCAGAGGTATGTCTCACGGTCATGGGCACATACCCACTCAGCTTTACAGTATGACAAATGCTGAATCTGTTGTGCTTCCTTCTTGTTGCTTGTAGAATGCTCTTGGTTGTTTTAGTGTAAAGCATTATTGCTCATGTCGTACATCACGGGACCTCTGTTGTGCCTTCAGCCCACCCTGATCCACCTGAAGAACCAGAAGTCTTAAGTAAGAACAGTCACTCTGTAACTCTGTCTTGGTACAAGCCACTGAGCGACGGCGGTTCTGACATCCTAGGCTATAACGTGGAGAGAAAAATCCCCGGTATTGGCTGGCAGTCATGCAGCAAGGGCATTGTTCAAAACACGGAGTTTATGGTGGATGATCTCACCCCAGGTGAACCCTACAGATTCCGTGTCTCGGCAATAAACAAAGTTGGGGCCAGCGAGCCGGTGCACTTCCCTCAGATGGTGCAGCTAGGTGAGAAAGGAGAGATGTCCCCATGGAGAACTGTGAGCTGCTGTAGACCTTGTGTTTCGCATGGCATGCCTGCTTCACCCATTCCAGGCATCTCCTGGAAGAGTTCATTCTGCAACGTCTTTCAGTGCTTTGCTGCCAACACAATAGAGGAGAAAGAGCTTGGAAAAATTGTTCCAGGCTGCAGTGAAAATCTGGTGCATTGCTAGTACTCAACACTTACTTTCTCCAAACTGCATCAAGCTGTCTTGCAGCCTGCACTGCATCCATGTGTTGTCCAATCTCCATGAGTTTCTTTTCTGATGGAGTTAGGATGGAACTAGTCAAAAGGGGCATGCTGGAATGCATTTGGGGTAACCAAGACCCTGGTACCAATGCAGCGGGTGGGCAATGTTGTGTGCTTCACCCATCTTTCACTTTCATTATATTATTTGTGTATATTTTTCAATATGCCCCACAAAGAAATGCTGGAGGACACAGTTCTGTTGGTGAACCTTTGGAAGCTACAGTGGGATGGAGAGCCACTCTCTCAATCTTTCTTTTCTTGCAACTCTTTGTCCGGTAGCCAAATGCCCAACACATTCCTCAAAGTGAGAATAATAATAAAAAATCCTCTTTTGCTTAAAGCTCAGACAAAAAATGATGTTTTTGCAACAGAAGAACTACTAGTGCTGGACCCTGATAACTGCATATGCTGACTTTGTCTACAACAAACCCAAGGTATTTTGGGCAGTGGCCCCCTCACCCCGGTGCAATGTGCAGAGGGACAGATCACGCTCAGGAGCGTGCTGCTTTGGGGAGCTCAGTTGTGCACTCTACATCCCAGTCAACTTCTCCACATTTAATGTGTTTGTCTTGACTTCATGCTGAGTATCGCTGTCGTACAAGCAGCATGCCATTGGCAGGCCTTCTTCCAAAGTAAAGAAGATACAGAGAATTTTTATTTTTAAATTCTGTATGCTTTTTGAGAATTTTGACTCTTCTTACGCTAGCGTAAAAATATATATTTTACTTTCAAGACTGGGATGAATGCTGCTTTTAATAATCTCTTTTCTTTTTTATTCTTTTTCTTGTTTCTTTGTTGTCTCACTTCATAACTGCTTCACTTCTAAACATTAAGATCTTCTAGAATTTCTAGGACTGATTGAATACTGGTGATGGGTAAATGAAGATCAGTAAATGAACACAGGAATGTGAAAAATGCAACCACTTTTGCATGTATATATTTAAATGGATCTGGTTTAACTACTGGGAGAGCTTGTAAAGTTATTTTGATACTGTCTTTGTAAGTGCAAACTTTGGATGCCGCTAGTAATTTTTTTTTTCCCTTTAGTTGCCTACAACAGCTAAAGAATCTATAAATGAAGGATGGGATGCTTGGATATTTTATAGAGTGATCTTGAGTGCTTTAAAGTCAGATTATGGTGTGTTCTTTGTGTTAATTCACTTTTTTGTAATTACAGAACCTCCAGTGACAGTCACCCATCCTTTGGTGGGAGGATCAGTCTCAGAAGGCGAGGTGGCTCGCTTGGAGTGCAAATTATCGAGTGAAACTGAGAAGAGAGTGACATGGTTCAAAGGAAAAGAAAAAATACAAGCTGGAGGGAGATACGAGATTCTTTCTGATGGAAAAAAGCAGATACTCATTATTCATGGATTTAAACCTGAAGATCAGGACACATATACCTGCATGGTTTCTCCAGAAGTCAAATCTGTTGCCAGCTTGTGTCTTGAAGGTACAGAGAGTGCATTCCTGTGATGTTAAATCAGTTCTGGTTAAGGACATTGAGGGGCATTCCACAGCTTGGACTGGAATTCATTTTCTTTCACAAGCTGTGATAAGAAACCACAAAAAAATGTTATCTTCCTGTTCAGTATTGCTCAGAATGTTTCTGAATCCCCAACAGCTCTGAGCTGCTCAGATAAGATTTTCCTGAGTCAGATATTTAAGGTGTGATACAGTTGTGTCTGCATTGGTTTCTCGTGCCTTTTGAGATGCTTTAGGGTATTCTGCGTGGCCTTCAGCTGCCACTTCAGAAATTTAGGGCTCTTTCATATGTTCTACATGGTACCTGCCATCCCCCTGCTCTGGACATCCCAAATGGCTTTGGGTCACAGTGCTTAGGAAGCTCAATTGTGCTGCTACGGTGGGATTCAGTGGCCTTCACGCAGGCATCTAGTGCCATTGAGGCACTTCAGGATGTCACCCCTGGCTTCTATCTCCTTCTCCAGAGAGACCCAGACCACTCATAGGTCCTGTGTTGTATCCGAGAGCCACGTGTGGATGTCTCAGACAGCCTGGAGCATCTCAAAGGGCATTGGGCACTATGCAGAGGCAAGTCAGTGTGTCCCAGAGGGTGGGTCTCAACTTTCAGACTTAGACACATCTAAACTGAAGTAGCTACAGGCAGATACCTCCTGGGAAGTAGGAGTCTCAGCTCCCATTACAACCAGTAGAGATCTGTTCAAGCCAGTCAGTGAAGCCCTGTCTAGCTGTAAAACAGGATGAGCCTGGAACAGCTTTCCAGGCTCCACTGACAGCCTTAACCAGGTATTCATTGACAGCAATATTCAGAAAGGGCAGAAATTCATTTATTGCCTTCAAATGAGCAAGGGAGAAAAAAAAATGTTGTTTGGCCATGTTTTATGCGAATGCATAGAATCACAGGATACTTGAGGTTGGAAAGGACTTCTGGAGATAGTGTAGTCCACCCCCGTGCTCAAAGCAGGGTCACCTAGAACAAGTTGCTCAGGACCATGTGCAGTTATATTAATTTCACATTTTGTTCGCAACAGAATCCTTAGTTAAACGTCAGTGATGCTCTTCCGCCCAGGCTTTAAAATAAGAATTTTAGCATCTTATCAGTTTAATTCTCCTCAGTTCCCACAGTGACAATGTTAAAAGAGATCGCCGGGGAAGCACCCCCTGCAAGCCAACCAGAAGAGCTGGTGGATGGCCACATCCAGCCCAGTTTGCCCCCTGAGGCAGCTCAGGAGGGAGACCTTCACCTCCTCTGGGAAGCCCTGGCTAAGAAACGCCGGATGAGCCGGGAACCCACATTAGATTCCATCAGCGAGGTGCCTGAAGAGGATGAGAAGCTTCAGAAGTCAAGGAAGGAGGAAGCGGAGATGTCTCACTATTACTCAGAGGAGTACTCCACATGTGATGAGCTGGCTAGGACAGGAGAAGCCGATTTCTCTTTCACAAGCTCAGATGATGAGTCTAGAGCTGGGACTCCTTCACTGGTGAGCTACCTCAAGAAAGCTGGGAAGTCAAGTGTCAGTGTTACTAGCAAGGTTCAGTCCATCTCCATAGGAAAATTACGGAAAGAGGGGGAGAAATCTAGTGTGGAGACTGTTGTGGCTGCCCCAGCTGCTAAGACAGCTGAACCAGATTTACCAGATTTAGATGATCCTTCCATGAACAAGGCTGCTGTGAAGATCCAGGCTGCTTTCAAAGGCTACAAAGTCAGGAAAGAGATCAAGCAACAAGAGTGCCCAGTGTTTACTGAGACCTTCAAAGATTTCTCTGGTGAGCCTGGAAGCACTCTCCACCTTGAGTGCGTGGCCCACAGCAAAACTGACATGAAAGTCCGTTGGCTGAAAGATGGGGAAGAGCTTTCAGATGGTCGCTACTATCACATAGACAATTACAGTGATGGGACCTGCTCTTTGATTATCACTGGCCTGGATAAGAAAGATGCAGGTAAATACACCTGTGAGGCTTCCAATAAATTTGGCAAGGTTTCACACAGTGCTAAGGTGGTTATTGGCGCTGAGGAACCTGAAATTCTTCATAAGGAGAAGCAGGTTAAACAAAGCACTGACAGTGAGACAGAGAGCTCGTCTGGCAGTGAGCTGGATGATGCTTTCCGTAAAGCAGGAAGGAGACTTCATAGACTCTTCAGGGCCAAGATCTCAACAGAGATATCTGATGTCGAGGAAGAGCTCTTTGTCAGTGCGGACGAAGGGGACATAGAGGTGGTTGACCACCAGACGTATCGTGAGGATGATCAGTACATCTACATCAAGTTTGAAATCTTGTCTGAGGCAAAAACTGCTGCCGCTCGATTCAGAGAGATGTTTGGTGCTCTGGGAATTCCCGTGGAGATTGACATTTTGGAACAAGGCCCTAAAAAAATTGAATTGCGTATTGGGAAAGCCACACCACCCACCCATGGGAAGTTTGCACCACCAATAGCGAGACCTCCACCCCCTTTGCTGACTTCTGATACAGGTAGGTAAAGCAAACCTGTTTATTGTTTGGAAAAGACAGCTGGAGCAGGTCAGAATGTTATCTTTTCACCCAGGAATAACTTTCAAAAGGCCTTTGTTTATTATTTGGTGCAGATATAATTCTGGAAACTTTGCTGTTTTGAAAAAACTTCTGAATTTTTTATTCTTTTTCATTTTGAGGGAGAGGAGGGAGGTAAGTGATGAAGGAGGGGGTTGCAAAGTATTGAATTATCTACAAAGCTACTTTTCGCAATAGAACTGTCCCCTACTGCAATAATACAGCTATAGATGCTATGATTATTATACTTAAATATATGAAACTGTTTTCAGAACAGTCCTTAGGGAGTCAAGATATTTCGGCAAGGAGAGGAACAAAGACAATGTATAGTTTGCAACTGTGGCATTGCAATGCTTACAGTGTTATGAAATACCTTCAGAGTGCTTGTCAGGGAGTTTCTTCTTGACTTTTGTCATAATGAAAAGCTATCACTCTGCAATTAAACACCTAGAAGCCAGAAGTCTTCATGCACTGGGCAGCAGTGGTCTTAAAATACACCTTTCAACACAATCATTTTTTCCTTTCTTCTGTCCTAACTACCCTGACTTTAGCTCCCATGTTCATGACTGAGCTCCAAAACCAAGAGGTACAGGATGGATATCCAGTCAGCTTTGACTGCATTGTTGTTGGCAAACCACTCCCCATGGTTCGCTGGTTCAAGGATGGCAAAGCCATTGAAGAAAATGATCATTACATGATCAATGAGGACCAGGAAGGGTGCCACCAGCTGATCATCACAGCTGTGGTCCCCACTGACATGGGTGTTTATCGTTGCCTCGCTGAAAACAACATGGGAGTTGCTTCAACCAAGGCTGAGCTTCGAGTAGACTGTAAGTCTCAAAATCACTGTAGAAAAACCAAGGGAATGGGTGCTGCTGAGAGGTGGATTTTTTTTTTCCCCTGACAAACACAACTCAGGTTAAAAAAAAAAAAAAAGTATGCATTGCCCACAAAAGGTTTCACTTGCAGAGCTCTTGGGTTCGGCTGGGTTTTTCCAACTCCAAGGCAAGGCTCAGAGCAAAGCTTTTCAGATAAACAGAGGTGTTTTCCATAATCCAGAGGTGTCTTCCTGCTGCAGTAGCAGTGTGAAATTGACCTGACAGTCACTCAAATTAGTAGGGAAACTAGAATTCTAGTAAGAAAAATAGTTTCAAAGCTCAGACTGCAGAAAACACTTCCTTTTCCGTTTAACAGTGACCAGCACTGACTATGAGACAGCAGCAGATGCAACAGAGACATCTTCTTACTACAGTGCCAAAGAATATATTTCAAGGTAAAATAACAAACTCTAGCTCTTTCTGACTTCTGACTTGATAAGATCAATATGTATTTTTATGTCAAGCCTGTTTCTGCTATATCTGGCAGAGCCAGCTTAATGTTATGACAAGGAACAGCCAGACCAGCTGAGATGCAAGAACTACAACAGCTGGACATTTATCATGTGCAAACTTGCTCTGGCTGCCAGCGGGCTAGCCTGGATATTTCTTCATGGTATCACTCTGTTATTTTTAATGTCATATGGTGCTGAATCTGTTGTCATGATGACAAACCCCACAGACTGAATTAACCTAAAATAGGTGATTCTGATTCCGAACTCTTTTCTGGCTTGCTGACTTTCTTCTTTCTGATTCTAATTGCTTCTTAGCCGAGAACAGGAGGAATCTACCACTGAGGAGGAGCAGTTGCCCCAGATCTTTGATGAGCTTCATGACATTCATGTGGCACCTGGAGCATCACTGGCTAAATTTCACCTGAAGGTGAAAGGTGAGGGGAGCCCACAGCACTGTTGGTCGTTCCAGGTTGGCTGTCAGGTTGAAGTGCGGGACAAGGTTTACAAATGTGCTCTCCTGTAGCTGTGATACCAGTCCGTGCTGCTTGCACCACAGTTGCACAAAACAGCTAGAAGAATGTGTTCATGCTGATGAACATTGACTTTTGCAGCAGACTCCGGCAGATTAAGTGTCTCATTCTGTGTCTGTGTCTCCAGGCATAATTACAGGCATACGCTTCTGAAAACTGACTCCTGTAATTCTCTGAGCACATTAGTTATAGAGAAGCAATAAGGAATAAAAAAAGATAGTGAGGGTGTCCTTTATTACCTTTAATTAAAGAAACTGTCCTGGACTTGCCTTACTCTATGAGGGGGTTGCAGCTGCAACCTGAAAACTGCAAAAATGTCCTTCTAGTGTTGCCTGTCTGTGGTAGGGAGAAGTAAGGATTCTCCTGTTTTTTTCTAATTCCTGCCTATAAAAATGATAAGAGCTATTTTGGCTTCAGCTTTTGTCTTTGTTTACCTCGCAAATTAGACCTCAGCATTACCTTCCCAACTTGGAAGGCATTTGCATTTGCAGTCAACGTGGGGAGTGCCAGAAACTGAAGAGATAGGAAAGAACTTTAACAGATAAATAGAATTTTGTAAATTTGCAGTCGTTCCTAATTGGATAAAGTCTTGAAACAGCAGCCCTGGGCAGAGCTGAGGATTCCTTGGCTGCTCAGAAGGATCTGCCTGTTTGGAGATGCTCCTAAATCGATGTTGCCAACACATTCTGTTCTCCCTGTCTGTAACTGCTCCTCGCAGCATACCCCCAGCCTCGTCTCTACTGGTTCAAAAACGGACAGCCATTAAAGGCCTCGGACCGCATCCTGAAGACTGATAAGCAGGAATTCCACTCACTGGAAATTCGCGACGTCACAAAGGCAGATGCTGGCCAGTACTCAATATTTGTCATCAACTCTGCTGGTTCTGCATTTTCGTCAGCCAGGCTGGTAGTCAAAGGTAGGTATTGGACTATTTTTGGCACCTTCTTTTCTCTGTTCCAGTGGCTTTGTCCATTTTATATAGTTTTTTTTTTTTTGACAAAGCCTACCAAGGTAAATCAAGTGAAGTGGGGAATTCTGCAGATAAAAGATGGCATGCTTTAATCTTGGTTCACCTATAAGTTTACTGTGTGTCCCGAAGATGAGACATCTCACTTCTCTAGGGTCTGACTGTTGTCTCATAAACATACATTTTATTCCTGTCCAACCTCATTAGCTTTAATGGTTCATTTTGTTAAAACTGAGAGCCTCTTATAAATCATACTAACATTTCTGTATAATATCTCCTGCAAGGAGGACCCGCTAGAGTCACTTTTTTTGTTTTCTTCAACTCACGGACACAAAAGTATTTTTATCTGTCATTTTGTTTGTCCCTCTTGTGTTACAGATCCTGATGAGAAAGAAGAGCCATCAGAAACAGGTGAGAGAAGCCATAACAAGTGATAACAGAACTCCTAGGAATTTTTCAGTACTTTAAACTCACACAGAAGTTGTCACCATGTTTCATCAATAATGTCATTTTCAGATTCCCATGAGCAGCTGACACCACCAAGGTTCTTAGAAAGATTTACTAATAAAAAGGTGAAAAAAGGTGCAAGCATCACATTGTCTGTAAAAGTGGAAGGTAAGTAGATAGATACCTTGCCTCTCTGCATCACGCTTCAATTTCATAACTTCATGACACATTCTAGACTCTCTCTGGCCCAAGTCATTGTAACCTCACCTCCTGTATCCAAAATCTGGGACTCTACTACCAGCTTTGTAAGAGACTTCTTGGGCTTTACAAAGAAGCATCTTACTTATCTTCACCTGCATTTTTCTGGATGTAGAAACAGGCAGAATAACACTTATTAGTCTTATGAAGATGTGTTGATGAACATTTTTGGTTTTACAAAAAGTTTTAATGTCCTTATGAGTGTGCTGTAGAAAGGTTTATGTTCCTTTATTGTGTATTATGGCTGTTATTGTTCGAAAAGTATCAGGAAACAGATAAAATAGCCTTTATTCATAGCATGGCTCATACTTGTAAGGAAAGAACAGTATTAGGAAAGTTAAAGCTCATTGCATTGGTTTCCCTTTAGGACATCCACCGCCAGCTATCACCTGGCTGAAAGAAGAGTCTCGGGAAGGCATCCTGTGGATCAAACCAGACACTCCTGGCTATAAACTTGCCAGTTCAAACATGCATCACAGCCTAATCCTGTTGGATGTCAAGAAGAAGTATAGTGGAGCTTATACATGCATTGCTACCAACAAGGCTGGCCAGTCTGTCTGCACTGCCACCCTGGAAGTTGCAGATGGTAAATCTTTGTTACAATACGAACATATTCTCTGTGTTATGTTTTATACAGTGCCAAAGAGAAAAACAAGCATGACTGCTAAGGAAATTAATCAAATCACAGCTGAAAAAAAAATGCATTGTCCCAACATTAGCCATGACTTTGCTTGCTTTGCAAATGAACACACTTCTACAATGTTTTAGATTTCTGACCCTATCTTGGATTAACACCAGCATCTTTTCTGTATAAACAGAAGACAAGTCTAAGAAACAACCAAATTAAACACGAATGAATAAGAAAGGAAGAAAGACAGTGTGAAGTAACCAGAAAAGGTCACCATTTCAAAAATTATTTGGAGTACTTCACTCTGCTAAGGCATTTTGCATTGTAGAATTTCCTTAAGGCAGATAGAGTTATTTGATTCCCCTTTTGCAGAGCTTTCCAGGGCCTCTGCGGGCACAACTCCTTCAGTTAGATGGGGGACAAGCAAGCAGAGGCTGGGAGTAGGGGCAGCACTGTGGGGGACTCCATTTTTCTGTTATCCTTCCTTGCATCCCACATTTTCACTGTACCAAGAGCTACAGGAGCATAGCTTGAGTAGTGTAGAGAAATTGGGCAATCATACATCTACATGAACAGGGAGAGATGCAAACTATTCACATCATATGAGTGGGAGTACGTATCCGAGGTCAGGAGCTGCTAACAGGGCGGATTCAGTATTCCAGTGTTCCCAGTAATCCATGTCTAGAACATGAACTTGCATTAAATACATAAAAAGAACATTCTCTGCCTTCTGTCCTCTAATGATAAACCCTAATCTTGCAGTGAAAGAGGCTGAAGTTCTGACCCAGGAGCGCGTGATGGTGTCAGAAGCCATCATGACCACACTGGGGTAAGTGGTTGGCCACCCAGGCTGAAGCGGACACATGCAGGTACCGCCCTGCAGAAGTTACCATGAGTTGCTTTTAGGCAGTGTTCACTTTGGATATCTCACCTTCACATCTAGGCACCAGAGTTAAAATAGCTTGAGGTCCTAGGATGGAAAGTGCTAGAAATACTCTGTTATCAATTGCTACTTGTTCATCTTTTAAGCAGAAAGCCCCCAAAAATGTCACAGGGTCAAGGGCTGACTCTTGCTTGCCAACATTGAAATACACTGATGCTTCACAGAAAAAGTAGTAAATTAAAAGTAGTAAATTAAAAGGGTCTGTTCACAAACTTCTTGTTTACAAATGCACCTGAAGAATAACCCCCTCAATTCACCATTCTTGACTTGGATACTAGGCTGATACAATCTGAGAAGTGGTATCCACCTGAACACACATTAGCTTCTAGAATATATCCAGCCTAAAAGGCTTGACCAGTCTTCCTCTGAAGTGTGAAGAACATCAAGAAAGCTGCAGTGTGAATTCAGCTATTCCACTGCAACCTCTCCCAAGGGTGTGCCCAGGCTCTTAGGCATATTTAGTGATATATGGTTTATCATCCGTCCAGTGGAGTGAGCTTCCTCCTGCTTCCTGTGGACTAACAGAGAATTAGGGCAGAGCAGCTTGTGCAATGAAAATTTATATCCTGCCTCCAAGGAGCACTGGAGTCCCAGTCTAGATATTCCCAGCCTTTACATACAAGGTGTGAGAAGGAGGGGGTGTTTCTCATTTAGCTCTCCTTACTACACATCTTATTTTAACTTTTGAATCTGCTTTACTCTTTCTTTTTCAGAGATATTCATCCTTCTGAAGCAAGAGAAGGTAAGAGAAGCTATTTTCTCTCTCCTACTCCTGCTGTTCACATTTACAGCTGAGGTTGCCTATGTATTTCATGATTACCACCTACTTTTGTACTGTTTTCTTGAAACTGTCTGAAATTTTAGAACTTTTCAGGATTGGTCTCTGTTTAAGGGTGAATTATTTGGATGAAATGTGAGCAAGCACAGTTTTAAAAGCAGGAGAAGTGAAGAAAATTAGACGTTCCTTCCACAGAAGACTTCGTTACTCAAAAAACTATGAATGCTTGCGTAATAGAAAATTCTGCCTTTTCCAGGAGACCTTGAAGCTGGTAGAGAAGGTGTACCCAAAAGCCCTATTTCACTAGCTGATGTTGGCTCAGAAGAGTTCTTCCAGAAACTCACCTCGCGTATCTCAGAAATGGTATCCGCAAAAATAAGTCAGGGTAAGCAACCTGGCAAACACAATTTAATTAGTGTAGAAAAATATGCAGTCTTTTTTTGGGGGGTGTGATTTGGTCTTTAAATATCAGTGAGATTTATGAAGTAGGTTTTGAGACAGTCATACTACATAAGCATAGGAACATTTGTAAATGCTTAGGGCTAAGAATTTTTAGTAAGAGTCCATCCAAACTGTATGTCTTAGTCTATAATTTTGAACTAGGAAAAAAGCTATTATGGTAAACTGAGATGGCTAGTGTCCATTTTATACAGACAGTGTTTATTTAAATAAGGAGAAGTAACTGTAAGCTTTAGAGAGGACGGCAAGTTGTAAAAATGGAAGTGTATTTTGAACATCTTAGGTATTTCAAGTTCCTCAGATATTCATTACTCCTGAGTCTGAAAGCCATTCTGTTCTGAGGACTTCCCACATCTTTAAGTTTTAGCTCATAATGGGATTTAAAAATCAAGTTGGGATGAAAACTGTGTGCGCAACTGTGCAGTTATCCAATGATTTGTTGAATTAAATGAAAAATCCTGATTTGTGTATCATATACTGATTATCTAGCAGTAAAATTTTATCTTGAAGCAAAAACAGAGGCATTACCTCTCCTACAAATATTCTTGCAGTGCAGTGGCAATACATGCAGTAAGCGTGCAACCTCATGCATTAAAATGTCCCAATTATTTATTTAATCCTAAATATCAATAAGAGATCACACTAAATACTACAAATGCTCTTTCTAGCGAATATTTGTTTCTATGAAACTGAAAATTATTATAGATTTGGTTCATGTTCAAACTGGAGATCTTTGTTTCACACTTCACTGTTGCTCTGCTTTTCAGCTACACTTCGAGTGCCAGGCGCAGAAAGTGATGATGAATCAAAAACTCCCTCTGCATCTCCTCGCCATGGACGATCCCGACCTTCATCCATTGCTCAGGAGTCCTCCTCTGAATCTGAAGATGGGGATTCAAGAGGAGAGGTATTATATCTTTATGGACAAGTTTAACACAAGGAGAAAACTTTACTTAGAATCACCAATCTCCTATGGTTTAAGAATCCCCTTTGGGGATGTACTTCACTTTAGTAGGTATATTTAGTAGTTAAATATTTGGTCTGCAATTACAGAGCAAAGAAAACCAAATTCTGATGCTCACTGTGTGATCTTGAACAAGTCTTTCATGTCAACATGGACAAAACATATCCATTATTTGGCACCTTTTTCTTTCATGGCTGAGCTTCAGAAAGTCAGAACTTGATTTTCTGTGGCCTTGGATAGAGTTGGTCAGAAAAATTTTGTTGAGAAGTTCTTCATGAGCAAAATGAGAATTCTGTGAAAATTAGAAATCAGAAATTTTCAGGGTGTTCATTTCAAATAGTTCCTAAAAATATAAGAATCACAGAATAATAAATGTTGGAAGAGACCTCTAAGATCATCAAGTCCAACAGTCACCCCAACACCACCACGCCTGCTAAACCATGTCCTGAAGGGCCACATCTACATGTTTCTTGAACACATCCAGGGATGAGGACTCCACCACTTCCCTGGGCAGCCTGGTCCAATGTCTGACCGCTCTTTCAGTAAAGAAATTTTTCCTAATATCCAATCTGGACCTCCCCTGACGCAGCTTGAGGCTATTTCCTCTCATTCTATCGCTGGTTACTTGGGAGAAGAGACCAACACCTGCCTCATTGCAACCTCCCTTCAGGTAGTTGTAGAAAGCAATAAGGTCTCCCCTCAGCCTCCTCTTTTCCAGACTAAACAGCCCAGTTCCCTCAGCCGCTCCTCATAAGAATTGTTCTCCAGACCCTTCACCAGCCTCTTTGCTCTTCTAATATATATTTGAAACTTTAGAAATGTTAATATATTTTGACATTTTCAGGACCACTGTTTGTTTTGCCTTGGGAGAAAAAAATCCACTCTTTCATGAGGTAAATCCAAAACACCTCAGATAGTTTTGAAAATACAGCCTGAGCCTCCTAGAGACTTAGTCTTCCACTTGCAAAAAGCAAATGGTGATTCTCTTTGCCATGCAAAGGCTGGAGAATAAAACATTAAACACAGATAAGCACTTATGTTCTGCTGGTGTTACGGTATTTTATTTCCAGAGCACAAAATAACTGTTGTTTCGTGCTGGCAGATCTTTGACGTCTACATGGTCACAGCTGACTACGTGCCCGCTGCACCTGACAGGGAGACCATCACTTTGAAGGAAGGCCAATACGTGGAAGTCCTTGATTCAGCTCATCCTCTGAAATGGCTGGTCAGGACTAAACCAACAAAATCTAGCCCCTCTCGACAGGGCTGGGTATCTCCAGCTTATCTGGACAAGAAATTAAAGGTGACTGATCATGCTGTGTTTATTTTTCATTTAAAATTACTTGCTCAAGTTGCAGTTTAGAGGCATCACTTTTGCAAAGAGTGATGGATGAAGACGTGGTTAAAGTGGTCTGTAACATGATTGGAGTTTTTCATGTTTTTATTAGACAATATTTCCATATGTGTGCAGGCATCCCTGGGTTTGAAAGACCTAATAATCCTCCAGCAAAAGACAAATTTCATACTGGTTTAGGAATTGGAAAAAATTTGGGATTTAGGAAATCCTCTTGTTGAAAGGGACTGTGAACACGTGAGGGATATCCCTCAGTGTGCGTTGATAAAAGCACTATTAACTTAGAAGAATCTTGTTTCTTTTTTTTTGTATTTTAGTTGTCACCAGAGTGGGGAACAACAGAAGCTCCCGAGTTCCCTGGAGAGTTTGTTTCCGAAGATGAATATAAAAGGAAGCTAAGGTGAGCTCATGTATTTGCACCTTTGAGTTTTCCTGCCTTTTTAACTAACATGAATGTTGGCATTTAAGTCCCTCGTGTCAGAGTGACAGTTTTTGTTCTGCTGAGTCCTGCCACCTCCTTTTTCCCAGAATCAAGCAAACCCTTGATTCTCTCAGACTTGTATTTTTTTATCTTTGATTGATTTTTGCCATTGATTTCAGCCTAGGAAAATTCCAGGTAATCTAAATCATATTGGATGGCTTGAAATCATATTTACATGATGGTTTTAGATGATTTCATTCTAGAAGCTCTCTGATTTCACAAAATCCAAAACTACAGTACCTCTGTACTTTGGGGTGCCATATGTCCGAGGATGATGTCTAAAGAGGGAGTGAAAGCACCCAACCTTGTGTTACTCCCTTGCAGTCCAGCACACTACTGAGAGTGTTCCCATGGAGCTATTTGCTTTCTTGATTGCATAAAGTGGCATTGAAGTTGCTACTGTCTATTTCACACAGATACTTTTGCTGCTCACACTCTAAGTGCCCTAACAGTAGATGTCTGTGAGATAGAGGTAGGTGTTACTCCATGAGCAAGGTGTCTAAGTGCCTCTTGCAGTCAGAGGGGATCTAATCAACACACTCCAGGGAGTCTGTTCCTCTGGTTGTATATCTCTGTTTTAGAGCCTAAAAGTCTCTCAGCACATCAAGGATAATTGCGATGATTTTTCTGTGATTTCTTGTTGTCTATTCGTCTTCCATTCAGTGTTCTTATTCAAGAGCTGTTGATCTCAGAAGAGGATTACATTCAAGATCTACAGTTTCTCCAGACTCATCACCTCAAGCACACTGAGATCTGTCCCAATGTCCCAGGAGCTGTCGCCAGTCAGAAATCCACCATCTTCAGAAATATTGATGACATTGCTCGCTTCCATTCCAGGTGGGCATTCCCATGTGCCTTCATTTGGGACCAGAGTGGCTCACTTACTTGATGTCAGAGCCACAGTAACTATTCTTACTGCAAAGGATGTGGAGCACTGACAACGCTGATGTGCAAGAGAACTGATGGTCCTTTTGGGATGAGAGATGATGGCATAGCTTAAGTCAGAGCATAGGGTTGGGACTCCCATTACCCTTCAAGAGCTTCAAGGCTTCATACGTCCATCTTATTTCTTATCCTTTTAAGTGAATTTAATTGAGAAACAGTGAATTATTATAAAAAGGCAGCATGGTCTTAACAGGCACTTCAGTGGTGTCTTCACAGAAACACACATTCATCTAAATGTGATGCCAGCATCCATGCGTTCTTCAGCTGTAGCAGGTTGCCCAGGTACAGAGGCACAGCGCCTCTGCCTATGCCAAGAAAGAATTTACTGAGGATTTGCTGTTCACAGAGTGACTTCCCAAGGTCCAGACTGAAATACTTTTGCTTGCCAAGGAGAGGAGGTGTTGTACAATGTCTTATGTGCCTTAGGCTTTCCTTTGCTAAGGGGCCTCCTGTTGCACCTTGGTACCCTTGCTCTCATGGGAAGTGATCATTCTCATGGGAAGTCTCTGCCATGAGAATCACTCTTTCTTCCCCATTTTCCTGCCCTGTGGTCCTAATTTTTGGTTTGCTTTTGGAGGGGGGGTGTCAATATCTGCACACAAAGCTTAACAACCAGTGAGTGTGCAGCGTTTTCCCCAGTCAATGTGTGCTCCAATCAGTGCTAGCGGCATTGTAAGCAGGAGCAATCAATAAAGAGTTTGAGCAGGTTGCAATGAAAAATATATGGTTACTCTGGAGAAATCACTGGGGGGGGGCACCGCTTCTGCAATGGGGAGGACGCTTGTGTGGGACATCTGGCACTTTTCCTGGCTGGGCCACAAAAACAGGTTTCCCTTCTCTTTCATCCCTCACACTCTCTTCTCCCTCTCCTTTAGTGTTTCCCAAAAAATAACTTCAACTGCTAGATCTGATGCATGTAATTAGCTGCCAACATCGCTAAAAATCTTTGGGCATGCAAACCTGTCTCAACATCCTTTGTGAAACAGAGCGAAGATCTCTATCTTCACTCATGTGGATGGCTCATTGACCCTTAAACTGAGGCACAAAGATCTGGGGAGGGGTTAACGTCCCAACTTGAACTAAGCCCTTGAAAGTTATCCGTACCTTCCTTGCAGAGCATTTCATACATTCAGGCTTAGAGGGACAGCATCATGCTGGAGGAAGAGGCACTGAGAAGTTTTATGCTAACATGGCAGCATCCCTCATTTCCCCCAGTCCTTTTCTTTAAAGTATGTTAACTTGAAATTGCCTGATTTAAAGGTCTGGCTGCCGGGGCTGTGTTCTAGCCTCATTCCATCACCTTCTTCTCTCATGTCCTTTTTCGTTTGTCCCCATAGTGTATTCCTCCAAGGCCTGCAGAAATGTGACACTGATGATGACGTGGCCATGTCCTTTATCAAGCACGAAGCCGAGTTTAATAAGTACATCCAGTACCTGGTGGGGCGGGTACAGGCCGAGTCGATTGTTGTCAGCAAAGCTGTCCAGGATTTCTACAAGGTAAAACAATAACCAAAGTACCTGCGGAAGAGGCATCCTATGACTCACTGCATCAAGAAATGTAGTTATTAATCAGAAATGTGATCCTGAAAAGCACTATGAAAAATTTTTGTAGGAAATCTTTGTTAAATATAATAATTTTGTGTTCGCTGTTTAGCTCTTCCTGATCAGTACAATCAATACATGAACATATTTACTTATTCATTTATGAATATTATAAAAATTATACACATATGAATGTGGTTGTGATTATGTAATTAAAGGATGTTATAAGGACCACCACATTATAAGACCAAGTGAACTCACACAAAATATTAGTATAGATAGTGAAATCCTGTTTCTTCTCTCCAGCTGCTCAGGACTGAAGTTCACTAGTGAAAACACACACACGATGCTGCAGATCCAAGAGCACATGCATGTTTGTGGATCCCTTGAGTAGCAAGCATGGCCCCTCTGTCCATCCCATAGCCCCGCCCAGATCCTGAGCACTTTTACCTGCTCCATGAGCCTCCTACTTACCTGCAAGTTCAGCTTCATGGTCACTAGGAAACAAATGCAGGCGTTCACACTCACCTCACGTTCACAGTTCCTTCAAATTATCAGCACAAGCTCCCAGCCTCCCTGGTGAGGGGACTGGAGCATCTCCCCTACGAGGAGAGGTTGCGGGGACTGGGCTTGTTCAGCCTGAAGAAGAGAAGGCTATGAGGGGACCTTATAAATGCCTACAAATATCTGAAGGGTGGGTGTCAGGAGGATGGGGCCAAGCTCTTTTCAGTGGTGCCCAGTGACAGGACAAGGGGCAATGGGCACAAACTGAAGCACAGGAAGTTCCGTCTGAACATGAGGAAGAACTTCTTCCCTCTGAGGGTGACGGAGCACTGGAACAGGCTGCCCAGGGAGGTTGTGGAGTCTCCTTCTCTGGAGATAT